GAATGCCGATCGATGTGGCGTGCCATCATTTGAACATTAATCCATCAGCCTGACCGATGCAGCATAAAATTCGATCGTTTGCAAGAACCCTGCAGATCTGATCGCTGAAAAAGTGAGGAAGCTGAAGGAGGCTGGTTATATCAGAGAGGTCCATGACAAGTGAAGGATGTGTGTGAATTTTATGAGCTATTGGCATGAATTTTTGATGACTCAAGTGTAGAGTGTTCACCTGCATGAGTCAGGGTATTCTAAGGTTCATTCGTAGTATCTAGTAGCTCAAGAAACCCACTCGAGACCTTCTGGCACTTGTTTGGGGCAAGTAGCTAGGTTCAGTAGTGATTCAGCCATACTCGGGAAAATTTACTTCGTCAGGCCCATCTAGGACGTGAGGTGTGGTTGGTGCCTAATTTGATGATTAAAAGTCACCACACATCCATTCGAAACCTCCCACAACCATAGGAAGTCACGAAGTCCACCTACTCGCGGTACAAAAAAATTAGGGTTCGAGACACCCTATCTGCACCACCGTTTTAGAACGACCATTGACAACGATTTATCCAGTGAATGACCGACGAGAATACTTCATTTTGAAGTTATGAGCCTATATTTCACTCACATGGAGTGTTCCATAGCTTCCGGGTCAAAAAAAATATTTCGCCAGGCGTTCTCGGTGAAAATTATGGTTTCGAGCTACACTAATCCCTCGGGGCTGACCCTGAAGGCACACACACCCAAAATACCTTTTTGGGCCGTTGAGTGCAAGCCCCCATAGGTCTACCACATGATTTGAAAATTTGGCACAGACCTGACATCTAGTCGCCATAGAAACAGGGCACCAAGCCCCCAAATCAGGATTTTCAGAGAGCATGGTGCCGCCTGGGTGGCACCAAGGCCCCAATATGCTTAGCTGGCGCCTTGGAGCTAGAGTGAGTGACTCCTAGGCGGTGGCCATCTTCCAGGTGTGATTTCAAGCCATGTTTGACATTGTTTTGAAGCCATGAGTAGCCAGGGTGGTGAAATTTCCCCTTTTACCCTCTTTTGGGGGGGGGGGCATTTTGGTCATTTCTAAAGGGGAGAGGGGTTTAACCTAACCCCTAACTCTCATCTTCGCGAGCTCCCTATTCCCCCGATCAGGGGGTTCCGCTCCGTCTTCTCCTCCTTCTTCAGTTAGGGTTAGAGGGAGAGCTCTTAGAGGAGGGTCTTTTGGAGGCCTTGTGAGGCTTTAGAGGTGCTTGGGAGTGAGCCTTTCGGAGAGAAAGCAAGCGGAGGGGTTCTCTGCCCCTAGTGTGTGTTGTTTTTCTACCTGTTTTATGTTAATTTAAATCCACGGTAATAGTGTCAAGAACTTGACTCGTCCCAAAATTACGCAGTAATTTTGTTTTTCAAAAATATAGCCAACAAGTTGACCCAATTTATATTAAGTATTTAATGTGCAAAATAGAAATGTTATATAAAATATATAAAATAGTTCGCACATTAGGAGTTCTAAGCAAGTGCCCGTATCGCTTCAAGTAGTATAGGGCTTTCTTTAAAAACCCCAGTATCGATCCCACGAAGAAGCGATGTAAGAAATCCCTTAGGCTAATTCTAGTCTTCTACTATAAACAATTAGTTTGGAAGGTTGATTAAAGTGGTTTTAATGTATGCTAACGAAACTAAGTTTACTAAATTAATTTTTAAACTTTAAAGTTTAATTTACTAAGACTAAACAAAGTTTTGTGAAGAAAAGTTCAAATTTAAAAAAGTATCATTCCCACCACAATGAGTTTATGGTAAAATGAGATGAGATAAATGGTTTAAATATGTATTGTGTCAAATATGAGCAATTTTAATTCTCTATCCTGATTCAGTGTTAAAGAGAATCACGTGGTTAGGCTAGAAGGATACTGGCTCCCACTCTAGAGCTCCCACTTCCCTTCTCCTGAAGGCTAACACTCGCTTTAGTTCTTAAACACTAAGGCCAAATTGGGGACTTTAGCCTATCACTCTAAAATCTCTAATTCTACGCCAAACAATGTATATTTCCTTATTTATTTGCACTTAATTCCATGAACAAAATACTCCTCCATGAAATTAAATGTGATTCTCACTCTGTTGTAGAACTCATATTCCATTTCCCAGATCATATGTTTCACAACAGATTTTAACATTTCAATTTGTCAGATCGAAAAGTAAATTAAGAACGGAGTGAAAAAATCATCACAATTTATTTTATATTTTAAAACGACACATCCAAATTATCTCTTCATTTCAACATATCTTAGAGTAGGGAGAAAGATAAAGAAAATTAGTCAAAACTTATGAGGAAGATAAGACAAAACATAGATTTTATATAAAAAAAATAAGTTTACAAAATAAAGAAATGAAAGAACACAACTTATATTAGACTTCTCTTCAAGCAAATCCCTAGAAGTTCTCTTGTAGCACTTTCTTTCTTTACAATCAACACTAAATTCTCTTTTAGAAGTATAATGAAGAAGAAACGTCTCACCTTCCTTCTGCTCTTACAATTCTTCAAGAAAATCCTCTCCACATACAAGAATTTACTCTACAATGCACTCGCACACACACACACACACACACACACAAGCCCCCACACACCATGAGAGGCGTCAAGCCCTCTTTCTTAAAGAGACACCAACTCCCTCCTTTTTCCCAAGAGATAAATCTATTCATCCAAAAGACATGTCTCTTCATTCAAGAGTCTTCTCCAAGTGTCTAGATACATTAAATCACTTCATGGGGTGTTTGAATCACTTGGGAGCTTTCTAAAACATCAAAATCCGCCAAAAATTGGTCCACAACCGTCCCGGGTGTTGTTGGCATTGGTCTGGGCGCCATCAGCGCCACTTTTCGTCGCTTCTCTGGACTTTGGAGCCGTCGGCGCCGGTCTACATCAGCTCCACGGTTTCTCTCCGTTTCAGTTGTGTTTCGTTCCTAACAAATAGACCTACAAAATAAGCATGAAAATAACATCTCTTTAAAGTTTAATTTTATTCAAAAATATGTGAGAAGTGTAAATGAGATTAATCATAGAAAGACATATCGAAATGAGTTTGGACAAAATTTTCTTTCTTGTTCGTTTTTGCTTCAAATTGCACCGTTCTTGCTTCTTTTTCTCCAAAACTTCATTTCTTGTCGCTGGAGCAAAAAATATGCAAAATATCTTCCTTTAAAGTATAATATCATTAAAAATCATTAAAATTGAGCATAAAACATATATGAAAAAGTAATCAGTTTTTAGGTGTATTATCTCCTCGGCATACCATTTTATTTGGGACACTGTTGCCACGACATGCCCGCCTCCGGATCATTGCCTCCTCAACATATCCTTTTGTTTGGGTCGCCGTCATCACAACATGCCCACCTCCGGGTCACTGCCTCATCGACATACCCTTTTGTTCTGGTAATTGTCATCACGACATGCTCACCTCCGGGTCACTGCCTCTTCGGCATACCCTTTTGTCTAGGTCGTTACTGCCATGGAATGCCCACCTCCGGGTCACTACCTCCTCGACATATCTATCTTTCGGGCCACTGCCTTCACAACATGATCGTCCTTTTTGAGTCACTGCCTTCACAACATACTAAACCTCACCACTTTGGAGAACTCCTGTCATATGTTTGTTACATATCCTGCATGTTTGCATGAGTGCTTGGTAAGTGCCTCTCACGTAAATAGTGAATTGTTTTCATAGGTATCATTTTACTCGATGCAAACTCACATATGATTAGTGTTTGCTGGTCGCATGACACCTTGGGTTCCTCGGGCAGGCATAATTCCTCTTCATAAGTAGTTTGTTTTACTGATATATCTCGTTACTGTGTGTCATGTTGCATGTAGCATCCTTGCACTCATTTGTATGATGTGTGTTCACCCTTTCGGGCGCTTGTTGTGGTTGTTTCATACTTCGATCGAACAATCACAATGCGGGCTTCTTACATGATTGTATGCTTGCCCATTCGCCTAGATGATTGTCCTACCCATTAGAAGTGTGACCAGTTTGTTGATCGTGATACTTAAACGAGTGTTTCCTATGAGGATGCCTGCACGAGCAGTGTAAGTTTCTGTATCACGAGCAACAAATATGTATGACTGTGTTAAGTATCCAAGGGCTCTAAAGTGCATCATGTACGTCATGGACCCACATCGTAGGTTTGCTATTTTAAAAGTATGAAAAATGGATATTTTTATTACTTATGTATTATCTGCCCTACTTTTTAAAGTATATATACGCTAAACCATATGTGAGTCCACCTCTTGTAAAATGTCACCCACTTTCTCGTGTACTTTAGATCCCTGGGATCTTCACAGGGTCGACGTGGCGACCCTGTCAAAGTCATATGGTAGTCGAAGAATTTACCCTATTAAATTAGGTGTTATGTTAGACCATTTTTTGTTAGATGATGTGCTAGGATAGGATCTAGGGTGCTAAATAGTCTTTTTTATGTCTCACTATTGTTCATTGTTGGATTGGTTGTTCTAGACATACATTCTTCTTTTGCTTTGTGCTTTGGGTGTGCCTGCATGCTTGATATGCATGGTAGCATGTTAGTGAGCTTTTCTGCAGGGAGTCGTTCCTTTATATGCACACACACAAATACATAAAAGGGCGAGCATGTAATGATTTCTAATGTTTGCAGGTGTTGCTTAGCTCCCCCCATTAGACACGACTGATTATGCATTGTATGGCTTCCCTGCTAACGCTTGTTTCATGCAGGTCGAGTCCTTTTTTTTTAGTTTTCCTATATACTTTTAGAGTCGTTGGAGAGTTCAATAATAGAAATAAGATACGAGCACAAGTTTCGAGACGCTTTGATGCGAGAACCATGTGACGAGGACTAGGAGGAGATGCTCATGTCATGTATCTTAATTCTTCATTTCATATTGATGTATATAATTTGGACCGGACATGTATATGTGGAGTCCGACAGCTCATTTTTTTCTAGAATATGTTGTCGACCCAGCAGCATCGACGATTCATATTATTTGATTTTGTCTTGTTTTATTTTATGTCTTTTTGCATGTTTGGATTGTTTTCCTTATTTATTTCTGTGATTTGTCTGCTAATGAAGATGCAATATAGACCCTTTTGAACTTAAAATTTTAATTTTTCTACAAAATCTTAAATAAAATATTTAAAACAATTAAAATTTTGGATTAAAATAATCAAGACTTTAAAATTTGCACTTTTATTTTCTTGCATGGTCTTCGGGCCGATTTTAAAATGGGCTGCATGAATGGTCATCTCCAAAGTCATATTAATAGAGCCTCCACAATAATTAAGGACCATTTTAGACAATTGCATTCATATTTACATGTCCCGCTTCTCCAACCCGACTGACACATCATACCTTTTCCTATATATGTGGTTATCTAGTGCAACCCAACCCAGATGGGGTGTAAGTCCTTTTGTTGAGAGTATTTACAACATTGTCGCTGAACCTCCAATTCCCTTCATTTCCTGAGACATTTTTGCTACTTTGACAGTTATAAGTCCCACCTTTTGGAGCTCCAGTTTGTAGTCATATGATAGAGTTCCATTTCTTTGAGCTTAGGGCTACCGAGATTCCCCGTGGAAGATACAATTCACGGATTGCTGAGCGGGGATCTCAGGACGTGTTGGGTCGAATTCCTTCATGACCAGGTGAACTTAGGGTCCTAGTGGCTTGGGATGACGGATCTGTGGTACCCTGATTCAGCTACCTCTACCTCATAAGATTACTCTAACTTTCTTGTTGTTGAGCCCCTTTGAACACTGTCGCTTTTTTGAATTCGTCGATACCATCTTGATGAGTCGATGCCGATGAGTTGTCGCCCTTTTGGGATACAATGATTTGTCTTCTACCCTTATGACCCAAAAGTGCTTTGACATATTGGAATATCCTCGTCAAGATGATTAATGTTATTATGTGGGCTTCGAATGCCGATGAGCCCTACCCATTTGGGATGTGAGAGATTCACTCTCTGTTCGATGGCTTGGCGAGAACCTTGAAGCATCAGACATTCGCACACGAAATAACCTTCATTTGATGACCTATTTCCTCAGGTTCATGATAATATAAAGCGAGACCCCTTTTATCGAGAGTATTTATGGGTATCCCTTAGGATGTAATTAACTAGTATGAACACGTTTCTTTGGGAATACTCTTAACCCCAAAATATGCACATACACCTAAATCTCTGCTTATGGGTAGTCTACATGGTATTCTTTCACGGATATTGGTCCAAGATGCCGCCCAATCTTATTTGGGCGGACATTCTTGACCTTTACTTGCAAGGGTTTACCACATGTAGGCTCTCCACGATTTTCTTTTAATCTCATTCTCTGTACTAGGAGTTTCACTCATATTATCGTGACAAAATTTTCTTCCTTCAAGTCACAGTTAAGCCTTTTGTGAGAGCTTAGTTTTCAGTTCATGCGTTGGTTGCTAGGGGTAGCAACTCGATCCATTTGTCCTTTCTCTCACCCTCGATAGTTTGGTTGTTGCATTATCGTGTGCACCGCTGTCATTGTACCTTGTGATTTGTTTACTAACCTTTTCTTATTTCTAGTCATTGTTTCTTTTTGCCCCGCACTGCGCAAGAGCAAAAAGATGGTCACGATTGCTAATGATGAGGGGAACTCCTTTTCCCTCTCCCTAAGCCTTTCTTATTAAGGAAAGTGTGGGGTGAAGTGTCAATAACCTACATGAGAGCTTTCCCCTTTTTCTCTTTGCTGGAGGATTATGAATCTTTTTTGGCAGGGGGAAGAGGAACTAATTCTAGAGCAGAATCTGCACTTCTTCTAGAGGAGGACCCTGATAGATTAATGGGAGAGTGATGGCAGGCTTCGACCCTTGCGAATAAATTAAGGAGAAATTTTTGGGATGATGGTCGGTTGGTTGTAATGAGGATGGATGTGCGCTGCTAGGAAGATGGGATGTTGGATGTTCCCTCTTTTTCCCTAAGAAGTTTCGCCCTCAAAAGCACTCGATCCCAAGTAAGATGATGTCCCAGGGGTCATACCTACACCCGGTGGGAAATTTTTAGGTTTTCACGCAATAATAGTAATCACCTCGGTTGATACTTTTTGTATCACACTGGTCATTTCTGACTTGAAGGAAATAAAAATATGCATAAGTAATATTGGCTCCTGTGGTGACCACCTTCCAGGTTCTCCTTTGGTTCGCCCCCGCTTTAAGATAGCGAGCTTACCCTTTAGTTTCCTCTTGAATGCTTTCTCCTCCACTTCTTTCACACTGGAAGCTTATTTGTCATATGAGGCTCTCCACAGTTCTTCTCATTCGACCAAATTTATCCAGTTGTAAAACCCAGTCAATAAATCTTTGATTGGTGTACCAAAGGATAGATAACAGATGCATTTTGATCTTTTCCTTGTCAGCCACGAGATAGTTCAGATGCGTCTTGGTCTTGATCACCGCCACATCCCAAGGGGTGACTAATCCCTTAGCCGTTGGTGCAAGATTTGACTAGAAACTGTTTCTTCCAATATTTTATTTTGTTCTCCAACCCGAGGAGTTGGAGTTTGTAACCGGCGAAAAACTGTGCGAGCCCTTCCTTGTCGATCTTGAATGAAGTAATAGTTGAACATGTATGTTGACCAAGGGATAGTCGATCAGTGGAAAAAATAATGAACATCATGATCTCAATGATAAAATTTGGCACGACTTGAACCATAATCATCTCATACTGATTTAAAATGCCCTTTAACTCGATGTAAAGTGGAAGTCGCGGGCCTCATCGAAATTGATCCCGGTAGAACACCAGGTCATTTCCAAAGTTGTTCGTCACTCAGTTAGACCTCCCTATGCCCCGAAGCATAATTGTCTTATCAAAAACAAATTTCATTAGCTTCTGCATATCTTCCTCAGTCAGCACAAAAGCCTCCGTTGCAGGGTAGGTAGGTGTCGAAAACTCTAGGAGAATACTTACGAGCCATAGAGAGA